CGGGCCGCTTTCCCTATCTCGTCCCGACGGGAATCCCTTCCCCCCTTCGTGACACAGAGAGTGAGGCAGGATGGAGGGAGCCAGCAAGCCAGCCTGAGAAGGCAGGCAGGTGGGATCTGAAGCGTCCTTGGCTCCCTCGGCCCCGCCCATCACCTCTAAGGGAAACGGGGTAGGGGGGGTGGGGGGGTGTGCTCGCCTGTCTAGGCTCTGGGGAAGGGGCTGCTCTCTCAGAGTTTAATTGGGCCCTCCTGAAAGAGTTTATTTGTTTTTTATAAATATATATAAAAAGTCAGACTGCTCTTCAGGCAGATTTTTTAGGCTCATATTTTATGGACTTTGGCAAGGACGGCCCGGAAGCAACAGTGGTTACAGTCTCTGGAGGGCAATCATTCCTGGAAAAACTTCTGGCTGAACCTGACTTCTCCTAAATTTCACAGAACATTCTCTCTGGCCAGGCCCAGCCTCAATGAGCTTTCTGTGTGTTGGGACAACCTTCCCCGGTTGGAAATCTGACAAGCATGGTGCCTCTTACACAAAAGCGCACCTTTTTGGCCGCTGTGCACAAAGGCTCCTGTCTCCGAAATTGGGGGTTGTTTACCCGGAGCATGGGCCCGCTGGGCATGCTCTCATGCTGGGGTGTTTCTCAGCAGCTACTTGAAGAGGTGCCCAGGTCTCTGCAATTGTGCCCCATGCTTCACGCCGGAACCCCATTCCTTAGTTGATTGTACAAGGATGGGGGCCAAGCTTAGTCTCTATTCATGCTTGGGGCGAAAGGAGCTCTGGGGAGTGGGGAGCGAGCCCTCCTCAGGCCCCTTTCTGCGTCGCCATAAACCCTGTCACCAAATTCCTCATGCAGGTGCCTCTCGTTCTGTGTCCCGCATCCCCTCCCGCGCCCTCCCGTAGTGCTGCAGGGACAAGACACACGTGAGTGTCACTTTACTACACGTTTTCACATCAACAGTTTCAAGTCTGTCCTTTAATTGATTAAAACACTGGGAACAACTAAAGACAACCAGAAGCCTAGGCTCTGGGAAAGTAGCTTCCCCAAAGGGCTTGCAGCACCTGCCGGGTGGCGCCCGGGTTCTGTCTGTGTATCTGTCACTCAGGCAGGGAGCCGGCTCACCCGCCTGAGCTTCCACCTGTAACACGATGCTGCCCCCCCACGGCGGGTCGGAGCAGCTGTGCTGAGGCTGGCAGATTGGCTGTGAGGAGGGGCTCCATTTCTGAGTGACCCTGTCCCCCCTGAAGTCCTCCCTGTCACTCCTGATTAGCCAGGGGACCCCAGGCATTTCCCAGACAAGAGACCCCAGCTACTAACGCAACCGTCCTCTGTGTACACACACAGACACGCAGACACACACACACAACCGTGTGCCCGCGCCGGGAACAAAGGCCAGAAAACTCCTTTAGAAACTGCAGAAGAGAGGCCCGTCTAGCAGAGACCTCCTGATAAAGCCCCTGTCTACCCCCAGTTCCTGGGAACCGAACCCCATGAATGGCCAGGAGAGGCAGTGCCCAGCTGTAGCGTGGGTGCATTCATCAGTACGCAGGACCCTTGGCCCTGTCGCTGGGCGAGGGGTCTTTCACGCGTCCCTAGAGCATCCAAGTCACGGTCCCGCCAGCTGGCCAGGTCTGTGGCTGCAGCCCAGCCTGCAGGAAAGGGCCCTGCATTCCCATGACCGCCCAGCCCTCCCTTCCCTACTCCCTTCACCCACTTTGCCAGCCTGTGGCCCCAAAGAGGACACAGACCAGCACCAACCTTTTTGGACCTGAAACTGGGGTGGGCACTTGGCCAGTCAGTGCTCAGTCTTTGAGTAGGGAATTGGAGCAGGACAGCCCCCCCGCATGGCCCCAGGCACTCACCCCTATTCGGAACACCCCTCCCTCATTGCCTCATTGTGATGGAAGTGCTCCGCCAACCATCTCTGTGCCTTTGCCATGAAGCCCAGGGCAAGCTACACGGGAAGGTGCACGTGTCCTCGCACTGACCCTGCCCAGCTCCTCTCCGGCCCCTCTTGCTCACTCGGGTCTCAGTGTTGCGGGAGCTTCTCATGGGCCTAGATGGGTCTGCTGGCAGCCTGGGCAGGGCGCCGTGCTGCAGACCTCCCCAACCGAGAACCGGCCTGCCTTGCTCTGCTCGGATGCCTTCTGTAACAGGGAGCCCCCTCTTTCCTGGAGCAGCCCACCGGAGGCTCGCACACAGAGCTGCTCGGCCATGCTCTCCCCTGCCTGCTGCATCTGCTCGCGCGGTGCCGTGGCAGCGCCCCACTCCCTCTGCTCTCAGACCCTCACAGGCTGTGAGCTCACTCTCTCCTCAGTCCTCTCTTTCTGTGCCTCATAGTGGAACACCCACAAACCTTGGGAGCAAGTTTCGGGGCCCTCTACACCTATCTGGGTGTGCTGTCTCTCCCCTGCCCCTTTGGACCTGGGTGGAGCCCCTCGCCCTGCTGTTCTGCCTAGAGCCCAGGGGAGGGCACGGTGTTCCCTCCTGGCCCAGCTGCAGCTTCAGAGCCCTCTCAGGTTTTTTATGGCCCCTTTGCCAGTTGCCAGGGAGAATACTCTCTGTTCAAACCCTCTGCTTCTCTGCAGAAGCTGTCGGCCGCCCCCCCCGAGCAGCCAGCAGCAGCGGCAGGGCGAGCCTCACAGCTGG